CCCCAAAACCCCAAAACCCCAAAACCCCAAAACCCCAAAACCCCAAAACCCCAAAACCCCATCAGGGAATTCTTGCACTGAAAATAATTATTGCTCTTAAATTATAGAAATTAGTCTAGCCTCAATGAGAAAACTGATGCATTACCTTTGCACGTCATGACAACATCACCCAGAATCTTCAAAAAATAGTTTCTTTGGTGCTCAAGTGCATCTACCTCAGCTTTCCTTGTACCATGGGCTACCTCTTCATGTGAGTATACTAACTCGAAGATTTCCCGCTGCAAAGCAACAAGGCATTTTCTAATTGTCTCTTTCAAATGCATAGAATGACTACATGATTCTCTGCTCATGTCAAGTTGGAGCTCTGGAGCTCCTTCTGCTTGAGCCTCAGCTATTTCCTGATAATATCCTTCAATGTCCCCTTCATGATATTTTCCACAATCTAAAACTAATAAAACTAAAGCATTACCTTCGTAGAACTTGCCACTATTGTCATACATCTCCAGATCATCGACTCTTTCCAGCTCAAGTTTTTCGAGCTCATCTATCTTTGACTCATCACCTGTCTCTGCATGCTCGATTACTCGCTCTGAGATTTCTTCCTGTTGACAGCAAATTTCGCTTTTTAGTATCTCCTTGAGACAGAATGGATCTCTACATAATACTCCTCGGCTGACCGGTTGGTATTTTGGGATTTCCTCTGGTTGTTTCTCCTCTTCTCTCTGAAGACAACCTTCCTTTTCCTCTTCATGCTTTATTTTTGAACCTAGAACTTTCTTCTTACTGAATACTTACCTTTATTAGGAGTTTGGTCCACCAAAGTTCCCTTCTCTTTGGCATTTGATGAACAATTCTTCGCATTTTGTTTAGGAAGAGATGCGTGCTTTGGAATAGATGAGTGCAAGGTCCCCAATTTCTTCTGTGGCAGGGGGCTTATAGAGGAGATGACTAGCGCAGATTGTAGCGATTCCATATTGGGAAAACCACTGCGAAATTCTTTTCGATATCCATGAAGCTTCAATGGCAAAGATGAGTTACTCTCTTCTTTGATTTCTTTACGAGTAGAGGAGGTAAAGAAATGTTTACGTACTTTTCCGCTCTTTTTATCCTTGGGTTTTCCTTTTACTACTGATCTCTTTTTCATTTTTAATTTGTGTGAAAAATGACTTTGCTCCTTTATACATCTTTAGCCAATTAATAGAATAAACTTGAATTTAAATACTGCGAAATAGAACTCACAATTGATATCTTTGAAATATCCCTCTAAACTTCACCAGGAGGTGTCATATAATTAAGGCATAAGAGAAGGAATTACTCTCATTGGTTTCTTTATGACGATATTAAGGAAGCAAAGTTGTCTTACTTTCCTTAACTTGCCAGCATTGTTTTGAATGATACTGAAATTCCTCACTCATTATTCATTTAGTTAAAATAAATTTGTTTAGACATCTGAAATTAGAAATTCAATAATGTTGGGTTATGAAGGGGTTTTGGGGTTTTGGGGTTTTGGGGTTTTGGGGTTTTGGGG